CTGCTGCAGGATGCTGATGTCAGGAGTTGCCCGCGTCTCTTGTTCACAAGCTGTCGACTGCCATTGAAGGCCGCGTCGCCAGAGAATCTGGCTTTGAGACAGCAAGTGGCCAACGTGGCGGGCTCGGCAAGATGCGAGCTTGGGCCACCTCTTCATGTCTCTTCACGTCTCTCTTGGGCTTGCGTCCGACTTCTACAGCTTAGGATTTCTTCTGGGGTGCTTTCGTGGCTTGGCGAATTTTGAATGCGGGATGTCTTGTTGTGGCTGGACTTTAACTTCGGCACTGCCTCCTTGGGTGTCAGCCTGGGATCCAGAATCGGCACGCAGACCATGCTGGACTGTGTGTGGCTAGAAGAGGAGCTTGTACCTGGTTGCTTAAGACTCAGCTCTCAACAGTGGCTGAGGATAAAAGAGATGGATCTTTGGCCGGCTTTGTTTGCGGAACCTGTGCAGCGGGAACTTCCCTCACGCATGTGCCTTACAAGCATCTGGCCATACGGGTAAGCAATTTAAAGAACTCAAGGCTAGGGCGGCTAGGGCCTGGGTTTTTAGCATGGTTATAGTTTAGGCGTGGTCTTTCCTCTCTTTCTCTCTCTCTCTCTCTGCGCTCTTCTTTGTCTCTCGCTGCATCTCACCTCCAATATCTTCCCCGGAAGAAGCTGTCAGGAATCCATGGAGAAACATGTTCCAGGAGGCTCTCCGCACAGCTGCTGCCGGCACTGTTGTCTGCAGTTCGGTACGACGGGCTGCCATGGTTCGGGCAGTAGAGCCCGCAAAGAATGATTAGGAGAAGGAAGGACAAGCCGGGCAGTCAGTCACCCTCTGTTGCCAAGATCTTTCAGTCAGCAAGTGCCCAAGTGCAACTGCCCCTACAGCCCCCCCCCCCCCCGCCCCCTCTTGGAGCCTTGCAGCTTGGCAAGTGTGCAGGCGAGCTTCTGTGTGTTCATTCCGTGGTGGTCCAGGCAAAGCTGCGAAGAAGAGGACTATCCACCAGCTTTGTATCACTGACGTCTCCCCGCGAAACTTCGGGGCAGTATTCTTCCCTGCCCACGTGCCGTGCCCTAATTTGCAGGAGTTGCCTTGGCCATGCTACGGGAGTACTTGAGGGCCGTTGCAGCCTTACCTGTGGCAGCTCCAGGCCAGAGGCTCACGAGACATGGACAGCCCTTCCCTTCCCCCGCCCATGCGCGGTTCAACTCAGGCACGGACGGCCGCAAGAAAAAAACACCCAGAGGGCCCAATACCTCTTAGCCAAGGAACCTGCGCGGGTTCAGATTCGGAACCCTTGGCAGTACAAGGTTTCAGTTCTTTCTATCTAAGACGTACAGCATCTTGGTCCTTAAACTGGCCACACTCGCCGGACTGCTTTGTTCCACACGACCTTGTGTGCAGGCTCACCGCCGCCCCACGCTTGTGCCCTCATCGCCAAGGCAGGTCTGGTCTCCCTGTATGTGCAGCTTAGCTGTGCTTAGGAGTGCTTTTCTGCGTGAATCGGCAGCGAACCAATGTGGCTCCATGTCTCAATGTGTCTTACGCACATCCGGCTCTGGATTGGGACTTTCAGCTACTACCAGTCGTACCTCCGAAACATTCCGAAACAAGAGGTTAGCTGAAAGCACCATCCTCCTCCTGCCGAGGAAAGCCGGCTTTCAGCTTGTTGGGCTTTCGCCTGTTGTGTGCCCTGGCACATCCATGCTTACGGCTGTCAGTCAGGGCAAAGATTGTTTTGAGATTCTTCCAGTGTGTATGTGAGCGCAGGGCAGGCGCAGTCTGCATATTTGTAGCAGGCGTTTTGGATGTGTCGAGGTTTTTTGGGGTGTAGAGTGAAAACCAAGCAGAAAAAGTGTACAAGACGGATTCTTGGCATCAGCACATCAAAAACTAAGCCGATCCCTAAAGTCGAAACTCCAGTCAACCGAGGGGCTTTCAACATTCTTGCGCGCGGCGACTTGTCGGTGCGCAGTGCAAAATCAACATAGACTTACACAGCGTTAAACAGAATGTGTGGTCCTTTGCACATAGCGCAAGCTCTAAACGAGCAGCTGCCCGAAAGGCCTACACAAAAGGTTGGGTTTTTTCATTCAGCATGTAGCATGCGCAGCCGAGTCGTGTCGCGATGCAACGCTCAGGGCCCAGGGATCGACGAGTGTTTGAGAGGTTTGGTAGGCGATGGGTCAGAAGTTGACACGTCCGTATTCGCAAGCGTTTGCTTAAAGCCTGGACGAGTCCGTTTTTCTTGGCTCAGGATCGCAATGTGTAATCCGGTAGCCACCACCCCAGCAAATCACTTCCAGTTCTCGAGGTGTGTAGCGGTTGCCTGAAGTCGTTGTGAGGAGCCTGATCGTTGCTGTGTGTTGCGTTTCTGCGCGTTCGATGTTCGTTGGCGGTCCTCTCACTGCTTCTTGCTGTGGCCTGCCCAGTTCTTTCGCCCAAATCTGGCAAGGCATGGTGCCGATCCGTGGTTCGAGCTCCAGGCCAGGGCCCCAGTATACATGTGAATAGATAGATATATATATATATATCTTATATATATATATTTATGTTTATTTGTTTATACATGTACTTAGTTAGTATATATACATATATATATATATGCAAAAGAGGATCAAAGAGGGGAAGATCTGACCGACCGATCTTGAATGCCGTGATGCGAAGGTGCAGGACATTGCTCGTGTTTCATCGGGTGAGCCGATGATCCAGTGCCTTGGAAATCGGTTCAGTCTGAGAATCCAGTACGATCAGCCCGAAATTGAGGAGGCAGTGGTCGTCTAGGGCTGCTGGGAATCCTGTGGCGGGGAGCTGGCGACAGTGGAAGACCCAACAACAAGAAGCCAATTGAAAATAAGTCATGCGCAACCAGAACGCGGAGCCCGCAAGACAAGGAGGCTCCGAAGAGATCAGAGGAGTAGGCGAGGAGCCGGTGGAGGACGGGAAGAAGGGGGAAGCGAGAAAATGGCAGAGAGAGAGAGACCAAACAAAGAGCCTAATGAGACGAGGGAGGGCCAGACAGGGAGCAACAAGCACCTAGGCAGTGAGCGGGGGGGGGGGGGGGGGGGGGGGGGGGGGGAGGGATGGTGAACATCGCCGTCGCTGGTTCCATAAAGGCCTGTCCTAGTTCACTTGTTCGGCGAAGAGCTGGTCACATGTCCGAAACTGGAGGCAAACTAGATAGAGGACGCAAGGGATTCCCCCTCTTCTTGAAAACAACACACAGTCACCACAACTCACAATCCCGGATTTAGGGCGTTAGCGAACTTTCTTACCGAGTGTAGATTGTTTTGGTTTGGGGTCAAGCTCATCTCCTGAAAAAAGGCTTGAGAAGGAGGGCAGCTTCCACTCTTGCGTGTAAAGGCGACAGCTCCCTCGTTAAGTCTTTTTGAGCCGTTACCCTGACTAGATCCCTGCCATGCCTCCAGCAACCCCAGCTAAATCCTGTTGAGCCGCCCCCACCCCCAGTGGAGTGTACACCGAGGGGAGCAATTCGGGAGAAAAAGCAACAGAACTTGAGACTGCGTGTGGCTGGCCCTACATGAGGTGCGATGCTTTCGCTACGGTGCCCTGCACTGGCAATTCGGCCGCTGTCGTGTTTACACACCGCGGCGGTGATGCGACGTGGATGCAAAAGGCGCTCAGAATCATGATTGCAATGGCCACACAAGCCGTAAGCTATGGCTTGCTATTGTAGCCGGGGTGATGTCCGCGGACAGTCTGCAGGTGGCAACAGAGAACAACCTGGCCGAGACGGCGTTCGTGGAGCTTCTCTCCAGCCAGTCCGAGTCAACCGAGGCCTGAAGGGCGGTTCCAGGCGTTTCTGCTTCAACGCTGAACAGTCTTCACAATTTAGAGAAATCTGCACAATGCGCCCTTCTAGAGGAACCATGCCGCTTCTCCCTTCGGTGGTTCACGCCGACCTGTGAAGTTGACCTGTGTGGCCATGCACCTCGGAGCCTCATTTAGCTGACTTAGCTGTTGCTAGTTGTGTGCACAAAGTGCAAGTCGGTCAAGTCAGACTCCTGAGTCCTTGGCGGCTTCAGTAGGCGACAGCACAGCGCAGGTTGACTTACAGCCAGCTTACAGCATACCTTTCTGCACACTGACACTATGCCTCTGCCAGGCTACACTGGGTGCCGCGCACGCGCTTTGGGCTAGCGGCCGTGCTGCCAAGCGACGCCGAATCGATTTCGAAACAAAGGCTTCCGGAACTTTGAGCTGCAGTATGACTAAATGCGGCTGGATTGAGATGGATTTTCCTGCAGATGTGCCGAAGATCGCAGACTCCTCAATCAACGGCTCGCTGCCCAGCAAAGAGGCCTTGGGCAAAGCACTGGGACTGGCAGCTGGGTCTGAAGTGCTTGTCATTGGCCGCGGCAAGTTTGACATCCTGTGCGAGCTGTTGCCAGCAGATTTCGACCGAATCAAACCAGATCAAAGCGCCCTCGCCCAGTTTGACTGCCGAGGGGTGTGCGTGACAACACAGGGCTGCGAGGGAAGCTGTGATGCTGAGCGTGCTGTTGTGCCTGGGCTTCACAAAGAACTTCACGGTTCCATTCGTTCCTGTAGTAAATCTTTTGTTTCGCCTCGGGCTCCAGACAACCGAGGCGGCAGCGGCGGGTAGTAAGGACCTGGTGGTGGATTTCAGGTCCCGCTTCTTCGCCCCAAGAGCCGGAATTGCCGAGGATCCTGTGACAGGGTCGGCCCACTGCATGCTTGGCCCGTACTGGATGCAAAAACTCGGCCGTGGTGCAGAGCGGGAGATTGTTGGCTTTCAGGCTTCCCCTCGAGGTGGCATCGTGAAGTGCATCGTTCGATCTGGTCGGGTCACACTGTCAGGGCCAGCAGTGACGACGCTTGAGGGAACGATGTATTGCGGTTGACCACGGCAGCTTCAGGAGAAGCTGCTGCGTTGGCTTTGGCTTCGAGACACAAAAGTGAAGCTGTGAGGCTGTCAGGCGCAGGCAGGGATCGCAGCGCATTGGCAAATTCGAGTTTCCCTTGCGCAGGCTCTTGGCAGAAACATGGTGGGGACTTTCATCGCAGATCCTGGGACTAGTTGGCTGAGTTGTTCACTTCTCCAGGCTGCTGCGCTTTTCGCGTTTTGATTGCGAGCACGCTGTTATGCAATGATCGTCTGGTGATGGCTGGAGGAGGAACTAACTGTCTAGTATGCAAATACCTAAGCCCCGCTTTAGCTTCTGCTCTTGACAGCAATATCATCAGTAATGAAGCAGGGTGGATTCGAATTTGCTGCACGCTTGCGCTTGTGTAGTCCGATCTTCTTGAGCTGGCTATCCTAGTAGTGCTTAAGTTTTAACGCTGCGACCCGCCTCGGCCTGGGCCTGCCCAACGGCGACGAGACAAGCTAAGCCGGAAATTGCGGGTGTGAAGGTGCTGTTAGGCTTCAGGGCTTCGAGAGGCTTGGTGCTTCTGGGGATCACGTTGTGACACGCAGACTAATGTATGGACCCGCCCAAATGTGGGATGGGTTCGGGGGGGGGCAGGGGGGGGGGGGCGCTTGCTTTGCGCTACCAAGACACCTGCAGCCCAAAGCCTCGGCGGATCTTGTGCGGCATATTCTGACTGAGGAGAATCAGGATGAGGTTCGAAAAGTGCTGCGCCAAGCGCTGGAAGGCTGGCCCTGCTTCAAGAGAGCCAACCGCGACGTTGAGAGTGCTTCGAGCGCATTCGCAGGTGAGTCGGCGGAGAATGTGACAATACATCTTTCTGGCAAGGCCGAGTCGCTGGTCCAGCAGGTCTGATCCGACAATGTCTGTAGCATCTGGCTGTGGTGGTCCTCGGAGGAATGTCCCTGAACATAGGGTAGTTCAATACTGTATTCTTCTGCAGGAAATGATTCACGTAAAGCGTAGATCAGCGTAGCATCGCGTAGCATCCCATAGCGTTGAGCGCTCTTTGATCGTACGACATGGGGCGGAATGGCGAGGACAGCACAAGTTGGGGAAAGCACATCCCGTTGAGGGGGCTCTCTCCAGAGAGTTGCGCGGACGTCACATCTCAAATCTGCCGTTCGGACGTCCGCCTCGCAAAGCCCCCGTGTGATGGCCTCCTTCCACCGTCCCCCCATGTCCCACCATCCCCAACGCAATCCAGTGTCGCCCACGCTCGATATGTGCGTATTCATGCACCCACGGATGTTGTATTTGAGGTATTGTGGTTATTCTGCTCCATTGGATGATAGGCTGGCGCCAGCCGCTTCGTCCTGTTGAATGCCTTGGCCCGAGATTTTGTTGTCATGCAATGTAGATTACTTGGCGACCTGCTTCGTGGGACAGGTTGAGTTGTCAGACATTCGCAGTCTTATGGAGGCGACTGCAAAGCAGAGCAGCGAGGGCAACATCACTGGAGTGATTTGTGTTGGTCAGGACTGCACCGCTCACAGGTGTAGCGGCTCTGAATCTGTAAGGGTCTCTGAGCACTTATGGAACTCACTAATAGGACATCACCGAGTATCGCGACCTGATGAGACAGCCTGGGCCGCGGCATGCGGAGGTTGTCTCAGGAATCTCTGAACTTCTGACCTTCACTACTGCTTCGCTTGTGTCATGCGTGGCCGGACAATGCCGGACAGGTGTACCGAATTGATGATGAACTCCATGGCGTTTGAATCCCCATGAACTCCCCACGAACTCTGCAGTCACGAAAGTACTGCTGCTTCTATGCGTGTAGTGTTTAGCGATCATCGCTCCGATGCCTTAGGCATGAGCTTGTGGCCGACGACCTTCGGAGATTGATTGAGACGGCGAATGCTCCGATCTTCGGAATTGATAGCAAAGGCCAGTACCTCAAAACACCACACATCACCACACCTTGCCCTCGCCACGGGCTATTCAGGGCTATTTACGCACACAAGGCTCTCGGATGCGTTTGACCCAGCGTAGTCCCAACTTGGCTCATGAAGGTGGCACCAACGGATTCTGACATTTCTAAGGCTGCGTGACCGTCTGGAATCGCAAGGCGAGGAGGGTGCGGAGAGCGCGAGAGCAAGCAGCATGATCTGAAAAGTGGCTGCCTTGAGATGATGCCCTTGCCAGGCAGAGCAGATAACGTCCTACCCGAAGACGGTGCGGAAGGGGCTGGTACCAGTAGCAAGTCCGGTTGTGCTATCTGTATGTACGCTGGTAGATGGATGGTAAGATTCCAGTGGAAGGGTTGCGATGCTGGGCGGTTGTTTGATTTTGTTTGTGACTGCCTTGGCGTTGCATGTTGTTGACTTGGCTCCAGATGAAAGCTGACATGAAACATGTCGAGGCTGCAAGAGCCAAACAAGTTCTTCAACAAATCGCTAACCAGTGCAACAAGAAAGCGTTCGCAAGTCATTGGATTGCCGACATTCAGCATGCCTGCGTCATTGGGGCCGCTTCCCAGTGCCTCTTGCTTGCAGATGGCCAGGAGGTTAAAGAGTGGACAGTAGGCAGGTCTGGCTAGTTCCGCAAACCTCGCACGGTGGTGAAGTTGTGGACAGGCTCCCGATGGTGATGCCGACCCACCAGATTCCGATGAGTTAGATCAGGCAGGGTTGGGCCAGCTGGACATTCTTAGTCACGTGGTTACTCCGACAGATACCTGTCCAGGCAGAGGTTGAGGAGGACGTTCTCGAAGCTGCTTCTCAGGAGGTGGTTGCGGTCCTGAAAAGTCCGGGTGTGCAAGTAATTACAGACTGCGCGATGTGTGTCAGATTGGATTGCCATTGCTCGCATGTGTTGCAGGAGTTCAAGAGACGTTTCTCTCGTGGGATGACCCTGCCGCAGCTCGGAAAGTGACGGAATGATTCTTCACTACTGGTAGCGGCTGGTAGCGGCTGGTAGCGGCTGGTAGCGGCACCTGATGCTTGACACAGGCAGGTGTTGGAGGGTTGAGGCTTCAAGCGTGGAGCTGCAGACACGCAGAAATCATGGAACTTTCAATCTGTGACTTCTCGAATCAAAGGCAGACAAAGAAAGAACGAAAGAAATGATTAGAGATAGAGGGAGGGAGAGAGACCGAGACACAGTTCGCAGACGAGTTCCTCGGACGGCAGCGCACTTCGGTGCGTCCCCCTCGGGGGCTATGCTAGAGAGACAGAAAGACAGAAAGAAAGAAGGAAAGAGAGAGAGAGAGAGAGGGAGGGTACCAAGCGATCAGAGGCTGAGTCAAACTTCGCGATGGCCTAGCCATGCCAAACTAGCGGGGGGTAGTGAGTACTGCAAATCACAGCATCTCCGCAGGGATTCTTCGGTGTGCCTCAACTACAGGCACGTGCCACACTCAACTGGGCTCACCAGACTGACATGAAGCCAAGGCGGGGCCCAAACAAGAACTGAATCGATCTGAGATAATTAAACATCAAGTTGGTTTAGGGTGTCTAGGCTCCATTGGTGGCGCCGTCTACTGCACGCTCCGCAACTCCATCCACACTCAGCTCCACACTCCGCCCTCCGCATTTCGCCCCAGTCCGCTCCACACTCCCTTCCCGCGTATTTCAGCGCTTCACTCAATGTCCTCACTCCATGCACCTGACCCATTGGCCCCTCCCTCCCTGCCCAGCAGATGAAGACTGTACGAATGTTTGCCCAAATCATCCCAAGTCTGTGCCTCCAGAGGCAAAAGGCAGTACTGCAAGCTCATGTGGATCAGGCCAACCAAGGTGGCCCGACGAGTCTCCTCAGCAAGGTCATGTACGCCCGCAAGAAGAGAACATTTGACAAGAAACTTGTACGGTTCTATTTCTCCGTGCGCCCTTCCGTTGAGGGTGTCCTTGACATCAGCATGGTGGCCAGGAGAAATACGGCACGGCTCACTGTTTGGAGGGGGGGTAACAAGATAAAATTGTAAGAGAGAATTCTTCAAGAGAACCAATGCGTCCAATCACGACTGAGTGCGTTCCAGCAGGTGGTGTGCAGGGGTGTTGCATCCAAGATATCCAAGGATAGACCGGATAGACCAGAGCACGGTTACCAGACGGACGTCGAAATGGGGTGGCATGGTGGAGGCAGGTGCAGGTCAGTGCAGGGGCTGGTGTGCCAGACTTCAAGATCATGCATCCAGAACGAAGCAGCTTGTGGAATCTGGTAGGGCTGTTGTGGCATAATTAATAGACCATTAATAGACCCTACAAGGATGAAATGTAGATTCGGACTGAGGACAAAACAGCACCAGGGGACCACGTCAAACTTGCATACATGCTCATAAGCACCCCTTGGCTCCGGCAAGCGCATGCGTGTGTGCCCTTGCGGAACTCCTCGAGAGAACACCTACCCTACTTCTGAGCGAGGTTGGATGGACGTTCTTCAAGGACGCAGCTGTCGCCAAGGACTGCATCTGAATAGCTCCCTGATTCTGAACTAGTCTATATGCCAGGCACACTTGACGTATCATGACATGAGAAACGACCGCCCGCAGGATCGCATTGTGGACCTTGAGCGAGAGCTTGAGGACAAACGGGAAGAGCTGGAGGACCCGTTCAAAAAAGGGTTCCTCCGTTCTCCGGAAGGGGGATGTGGCTACGGACTGCGTAGTGCGGCCACTGGGGCAACTGTCGCGTGTTGGCCATCGCCATCCACATCCCTGCATTTCGTGACGGGGGTGCTTACTGCACTGAGACATGCATGTAAAGCTCGGGCACGTGCCGACCCGTCAGAACCTACGGTTGCGCGTGGAGCGTGCCGAGCTGAAGGCGGAGGGTGCAGCTGTAAAGCAGAAGCGGTGACTCGGCCGGCAAAGCCAACCCTGCCTTATGGTTGCTATACAGTGCAAAGGCGAGTGCAAAGCTGGCAGTGAACCGCTTTCTTGCCTGAGCATATGCTGCGCATTGCAGGCTATTCTCCAATGCATGTTGAGGTTTGAAAAGGGTGATCTGACATCACACGACTTAATGCTGGGGGGCCTTCCGGTCCTGCATGATATTACAAGATCTGCCGGCGTTTTGGGAGAGCCTGGGTGCTGGTGAAGCCATCTCTCTCCGATCTGCCAATCAGCTTCTACCAGTACCTAATTGGCCTCCTTCTTTTTCACTTTCGTTGTTTCTGCGTCTCTCGATCCATTTGTGATCTTCAAGGTCCTTGCAGGACATACACAAGGAACACTATCGCGACGCTCGAGGGCCTTGCCCATCGTTTCTTCTGTTTTGCCGCCTTGCCCGCATCTTCACATGAAGAAGTGCAAGACCGGTGCAAGGCTCCAAACCATTCCAAACCAAACATTTCTCGCCCTGGGCCTGAGCGAGTCCTGGTGCTCAGAGGGAACTGAAAGTGGCAATAGGTTGCCGGTTAATTTTTTTTTGCGTAAATGGTCCCGCAAGTGTCGAGCATATCTGCTCCAAGTCGAGTTGGCATAGGTGGCCATCTACATCATACGGGTACGTACTAGGTCTCCGCTCGCGGGGCAAATGGTGCGGAGACTTGGTGTGGTGATCGCTTTCCAGTCCCTTCTCACGCGACAAGCGTAGACACAGGCTCTGCCACGTAACGCAGCGGACGGAAGTTTCAACTCACTGCTGAACGCGTGTCTACCAACAGGTTTGCCACTCTCCATCCAGAATGGCCATTTTTGGACATTGTGATCGACTTTCGATCCTTTGAGATTTGCAACATTGGTTCTTAGACGGAACACTGATACATTGCTGAATGTAAAGCTGCAACGCGGGCTCCAAGGGCACCCCGCTTTGAGTTCTTATTTGGGCCCTCAGAATGTTGTACAAGTCTACGGTGGTTTGGCTGGCGGTCGGATGTTTGCGGCCTGAAGCGCTTCCCCAATCTTGAGTGTTTTGACGGCCATGCTAGGCTCAAGTTGAAAATCGTCAAACGTGCTTAGAAAACCCTTCAATAATAATGAACTCCCACCCCAAGATCTATCGAGCAAGGACTTGGTGTCTGCCCGAACTCATAATATCTGTAAATATCAGTATGTATCTAAAAAAACTGGCAAATGATGATCGATTGCTTTTTGTGACGCCAAAGGCCATACGCCGGCAGAAAAGTTAAATAGGCCCTCGTGAAGGCACTAGTGTAGGGCTGCCTGTTCGGGGAAGTCTATTGCTCCTGCATGTTTGTGTGCATGTCAACTTGCAGGTTGTGCTGGCCTTGCTGTAAGAACTTTATTGCACTGTGTTTATGTTCCTGAGTTTTCACTGTCTCGGTTTCTGAGTGGGGTCCTTTGCTTACTGCGGATTTTGACGGTTGCCTCATAAGGATGGCGAAGGAACTGGCCGAGGCCAATCAGGACCTAGAGGACTGTGGACAAGTTGGCAGATGAGTTGACGATGCAAAGATGTTTGTAGTTCTTGTACCACTTCTCTCAGGTCTCCGGTCCCAGCCTTGTTCATTTTTTCTCCGAAGTCTAGACTCATAGGATTGTACCAGTTCATGTGCTTGTGATACGTTGTCAACTTCAGTTAGAAGCATGTGGCTGCAGGACTACCGGACGCGCACGGCAGAGCTTCATCAGAAGCTTTCCTTTGCCAGTGCATCTCTGGCGTCACAGCACGTGCAGCCGCTGGATTTGCAACTAGCATCCAGTCAATACACCAACCAAAAACACGCGGTCAACTCCAGTCAGTCAACTGATGGTCACAAGTCAACTTTGAAAGCTTGAGTTTTTCCTGTAGTTGCTTGTCGCAGTGCGGGTGTTATGCTGCCTTTGTATGCCACAGTGGAAACGACAGCATCTGAGGCTCGAAGCGCAAGCAAAAGAGTTGAAAGAGACGCGTGAGTCCGAGGCGACGTGGTCTGTCCCCAAGATTCCCCAAGCCATGATGGCAGACAAGCAGCGGAAGTACGGTTGTGTCCGTTGGCTTGTGGCATTTTGTGGCACGTTGTGACGGCATGCTGGGCCTCAGCAGTGTCTTCGCCTTGGAAGCCTCAGCCGTCACGAACATCCCTGCAGGCCAAGCTCCAGTTCGAGTTGCGGCGGGCCTTGAATGAAGAGGAGCATTTGGATTATTTTGAACGTCTTTGAGCGCTTCTGGCCATGATCGTGGAAGTCAAATCAGCCAGGAGCGCATGTCTGGCCACACAGACCTCGTGACCACGCAGATGGAGCGCTGGGCCAGGGTACAGGGTAGATCTCAGGTGGTTCGTCGTCGACGAATGTCGACGATAAAGATCAGCTACGGTTGCCAGCTCTTGGTCTCGGTAGTTATGGTAGCTGGATGGTGGTGATTCGGCGGTCTGTGGAGGAGCTCCATCAAACGCGACATTCCCTCCAGCAGCAGGGTGGCGAGCTGGAGGTGGAAGCGTGTTGGGCGATTCTCCGGTCCGTAAGTCGTAAGTAGCTGCCGTTGCATACTTGCATGGCAGTGGCTTCATGCAGGGGGCATTGCAGCAGCTGCGATCAATGCGGCAAGAAGTGCACCAGTTGCGCTGCGCTGCTGAGGCCGTGGCAGCTGTTGGAAAGGGTAACCCACTGGAGTATGCAGCATGAACCCTTAACAATGACCCCCCCCAACATCTCATATCAGCGTTGGCAGGTGGAACGTGGTCGTGAGACGAAGCATTTGCAATGCAAGGCCAGAGTTGGTGAATTCAGTCAGCGTTGCAGAGGCAGTTGCCACTCCTGGGTGCGTCAGTTGCGCACTGCGTAGACAACAGCACTAAACTTGACAGACTAGGAAGGTGGAATTCCGTGAACTTGCTGTGTCGTAAGCTTGCACAAGCAGCACAGGTCCTATGCAAGTAGACATTTCTGTTGTGGCATCCAGGACTGTGAATGGATGGAGGAGGTGTGCCGGGCGCAGGTCTCTGCAGCTGGTGCCAGGCACCGCGACACCGAGGCGCCGCTAGATGCAAGAAGGCATAAGCTAGGCAAGTGATGCATCATGAACTGGAGGCTGCGCTGCAGAAATCCCTGGACAAACAGGAGGCTTGGTTTCTGGTTCATGGCCCAGCTTTGCTTGAGAGCCTCTTGCCGCAGGAGTTGAGGTGGCAACTGCTAGACGAGAGGAACCGGCGCCCAGACTCACCAGCAACACGCAGTCGGTAGAAACTAGTTATGGCGAGGGCATTATAGGCGTTGTGAGCGCGAAAGTGCCCTACAGGAATGTGCATGTTGGGAATGCTGTAGCTTTGGGACCTTAGTGCATTCAGAGGAATAAAGTACAGGCGAGTGCCAGTGAGCACAGAGCATTGAAGGCTGCACCCCCACTCCTTTGTTTTGCCACATCCTAGGCATGAAGAGCTCAAGGAGGAGCACAGCATGCGATTGGCGCAGGCAGCGTTGGCGGTGTTGTGGAATGTTGCGCGGGCTCCTGCTTGATCACTGCCACTGGCCACCCACCCGAACCACTCTAACACACACACACAGATCTATTGTTACATTATTGTTGTATCTGCTCTTCATTCATGTGTTTATTGCTTTGTTTGTTTACTGTATCTATTTGATTTTATTTCGTCATGTTCCATAATCATGTGTAGAGTACTTCTACGTGGGTATATCTCTTGTGTATCTGTACAGTATATATTATTAATATATGTATATATGTACACCTGTTTTTATGTACCTATGTATAGATGTATAAATGTATGCAATCGAGTGAGTATCAGCATCCTGGATGACAAGCAGGATACTGCAGGTCAGAAACGCAGTGTGTCGCCGCACACATGATGTGTACCAGGCTACAAGAGAGGTCTGCGTGGCAAACATCTTGCCAACCTTGTCCAGCTGCCCAAAAGGTTGCTAAATGTATCGGCCTCACCTACATTGCGTGAAACCAGGCGGCTCAAGAAGTGGCCTTGCTGCGTCACAAGGTGGAGCGACAAAAGCAGGCGAGCTCGTTTAGTAAGTGTTACAGTGACTAGCGGCGACTAGCGCATGTCATCCTGCCATGGGCAGGACACGAGATGGCGGCATCCTGGCAAGCGTGAGGGCACGCTCGAGTCGCTTGGCTTGCTGCTAGCTACTGTTGGATGCTATCGGCTTCCTTTCGGAATGCTTCGTGAGTTGCAATGGGGTCTTGTGCCTGATCGGTTTCAGGGCTCCTCAGCAGCTCGACACGCCGCGTCGGCACAAAGAGATGCTCTTCCGTTTGGAGGAACGGGCTCAGAAGATGACCCCTGGTAGGAACTGCCTGAGCGGAAAGGAAAGTGTTCGGGAGTTGCGGAACACCTCATCTCCATGCCCCGACACTGCAGGAGCTCCTCCCGGGCGTCAGGCAGCCCAAGTCTCGCACAGACCATTTGTACCCAAAGTTGGCCGCTTGCTCATTTATTGAATTCTTGAATGGTGAGAGGAAGGACGTGGGAGGTCAAACTAAAGAAACGGTGAGTTCCCAGTGTATTGGCATGCTGATTAAGGTGCCGCAGTGTCCGTCCAAGACTTCAAAGTGAGACGCCTTTGCTGCAAAAGAGCAGATCCGCAACCCTCAGCCAGGTAAATCGTGTGATCTTAATTGTTGCAAGACACTCCATCCTGAGCCCTTTTAACCGCGCATTGTGTACGTGTTTAGACAACTCCAAGACACAATGCACTTGTGTGCATTCCACAGCCACCTGCCCCAAAGGGGTTCAGTTTGCCTTGTCGTGGCGAAGCCACCTCAAGGAGCAGCCACCCCGTGTGGAGAAAAACCGAAAGTCAAAAAAAGATCTCAGAAGCTGCCAAAAAAGCTCAAAAGCCGGTCAACTTGGCTCTCGAAGCCTCGATTTCTGAGATTGAGAAACCCTCGCTGCATACCACGACATTATGTTCTTCATGCGGGGCACTGCGTTGAAGTGGGCATGCGAACCTAAGATGAAATTGGATGGCATTGCCCGATCGAGTTGCAAAGGTTCGTGCGAAAAGCATCGCAGCAAGAGGTGGTAATGCTCGTTCCAGCAATATCTTAGGTAGCTCAGGTTACGGTTGCTCGTGTTTCATCCGTTCAAGGGCCTAGTGTGGCCGGCACCCTGCATTCCCACACAGTGCAAGCTGGACTAATGACTTTGTTTTGGGGCCACTTCCTGGTTTCTTCGCTGGCCTTCAGGGATTTGCACTTTGTTGATCTTGCTTTTACTAGCGAGGCCTTAGACCAGTGGCCAAGCGCCAAGCTCTGACACCATGTTACATCTGGACGCAGGAAGTGGAGGGCAGATCATTTGTGCAGGAGTTCGTCGCCAAGTCAGACAGGCTAGACGCTGGGCATCGCTTAGGAACACTCTGAGAATTCAATCGGTTCTGTGTTTCTGTCACAGACGTGCCTCAGAACCTCCAGTCCAAGTATTCTGTCAGCGAGTCAGAGATATCAACCGCCAGGCAGAGGATGCAAGATATCGTGGACGCAGCTCTCCAGGGACAAGAGAAAGAGCACTTCGCACGAGCCCCAACAAGAGTTTCTGCTGAAGTTCGTCTCATTTCGTCTCTAGCCTCAAGAAGCGCCCATTGCCTTCGAGCGTGGTGGGACGAGCATACCCACGGCCTTGTCAGGAGATCGTGCTCTGCTCCAAAGACAGCTCGGAGCTGGCTCACTCAGCTTTGTGCTTTTTCCCTGTCCCCCGCTCTCTGTGTGATCAGTCTGAGACACAGCCGGCAATGGCACACTCGATCTAGAGATCAGCGAGGCACGAGATCTTGCTCAATGCGACGCCCCGACGCGGCAGGCCTGATCATGCCAGAGAATGCTTGAGGATGGTTTCGGAACCTGCTTGCGTGTGCAGGATTTGTTCTTTGCCTGAGCTGCAACTAGCCATCCTGATCATTCGCCTTGACGAACTGCTTCCCCCACAGTGTTTTGCCGACTTCTGGTCATGCTGGTCCTATCCATCGATGGTTGTTGAGAAGCTGAGACGTGCATGTTTTGGCTGCAGGACAATGTAGACTGTACCACGCACATTGCGCACCACCACCACCACAGTCAAGACTATGTGTCCAAGAGTTACTTGACATGTCACGAACTGGCCTCTTTGAGAACATGAAAGGCATGAAAGGCTTACAGCGCTTAGCCACAGCAGTCGTTGGGACCAAGGGTGCAGGCTGGCAAAAGTTTGCCTTCAGGGTCAGGCGAATGGACGCTGCAAATGCTCGGGCGAAAGCGCGAGGCTGGTCCTGCAAATGTCGTCATTCAATTCCCACGTAGCGGCTGTGTCTATGCAAGAAAGAGTAGTGGTGTCAACCTCATCATGACGCCGAAGCTGTAGTGACTCGTAGCATTGAGTGGCTGCTCCAGCTGCGCAGCATCTTGCCTGTAGCGCTGCGAAGTTGCAACTTGGATCAGTAGTAGAAGCATCCAAAACTGGAAGGCTGCAAACACCAAGGCTAGCTCCAAGCGCAGGTGGGCCGTGACTCATAAGTACACAAGCACGGAGAGACACTGTATGCAATTGTAATTGAAGGAATGCATTGCGATGCTCGGTGCCAGTGTAGCATCGGCCTGTGCAGCAAACCTGCAAGTCTGTTGCAAGTCCAAGATGCACAGCATACGCTTTGAGACGTGGTTCTCGGGCGTCCAATTTGTGCGTGCGCACAATGAACTGCCAAATGTGTCTTGTGCTCCTCCTCCTCCTCCTCCTCCTCCTCCCGATCCTGGCCCTCCTCTCTGCGCAGTCCTGCCCCGACCAGATCGAAGATGGGTGTGCAATGCGAACGGTTTTGAGGGTGCCATGCGTTGGCCACTAGCCCTGAACCCGCTCCGACCCAAACAAAGATGAAGTTTCGGAAGCGGAGGTAGTTTCGTATCACGTCAGCAATTGTTTTGAGCAGCTGGGCATCCTAATATCGAACCAGAGACTGTGGCTTCGCAGTGCACACAGGTGGCAGCAAGAGATCGAGGGGAAAGAGGCTGACGATGAGGTTGTCACAGCCGAGGACCATGACCAGTTTCGTCTTTCGGTGGAGCTTGACTAAGCGTCGTTAGCTCTCACTTAGAACTGGAGTTCTAAGGCTACTTGCAGATTGTGCCACAGCATGCTCGAGTTCCCGTGATCCGTCCCGATCCCATTCCGAGGCCCAGAGAATAAGATCACATGCTTATTTTCATGTTCAACCTTGCATAATCATACTTGTGATCATGTTTCAAAAGTCATCCGATCTTATACTCTCCATGTTCTGGCCCCAGCTGTGAACAATGACGCCCGCAATTGGTCTGAACCAACTCCTTCCATGATCCTGGGGTCGTAGGGACTTCCTATATGCAAAATTGTTCTGTCACGCTGCTGTGCTGGCTTCCTCGGCTGCAACCTGCCGTGCCAAGTTACACTGAGTAGATCAAAGAAGATGACTTGGAACTCGGCTGGACTATTGCAAAAAAAACCCTGACCGCATCAGAACAGTGCCCGCAGCGCAACAAAAATGTACGAAGATTCTTGAGCAGTGGCCGTGAAGAGTTCCGGAGCCATGGCAGAATGGGGTGACGAGGTATGGCAAGATGACGACGAGGTCCCGGCGCATGCACGTAGTCTCGGCAACGGTCTTTGCAGAAGGTTCCCATAGGTTCCCTAAGAAAAGTGGGCGTCAGCGAGGGCATTCTCAGTTCCAGTGAACGATGTTTCTTCGAATTTCTTTGGTAAGATGCTGCTCTCAAGCCTGGGGCACTCCAAACTCAACAGCCCCACAAGCTCTACAAAAGCCCCACTCAACCTGTTTTCAGTTTTGGGGGAAGGTTCTTGCAAAACTTGTTGCAAGGTGCGTGTCCTGCACGGTGAGCTGCCGGAGACATGGAAGTCCTTCGATGAATGCACAGGCGCATGGAAGTTCCCACTTGGTCTCATGTCGTGTCTTGGCGCAAGTTCACTTGGCTTTTGCTTGTATAGTTCTGATCGACGAGTGTGTTTCAGTTAAGTTGCCTAGTCGGACTTCAGTGCTGTTGAAGGTATCTGCAGCAGCAGGGTTTTCGCTGTCCAACTCCAATCCAAGCCTACGCCTGGCCAGTGCTGGCTGCGGGCACCGATTGAATCTAGGCTGGCAGTGGCTATGCAGGTTGCCGGCGGCACGGAGCATGAAGTTTGACTGTCTTAGAGTCTAAGTTGTTTCCAAAGCTTGACAAGGTATAGGCGTTGCGAAGACTGGCAGTGGCAAGACCTTGGGTTACCTCCTCCCTGGCTACATCAAGATCAAGAGACACGAGCTTACAGGAACGACATATGACCAAGGCCCGGGCATGCTTGTGCTGGCTCCGACCAGGGAGCTGTGTCAGCAGATCTATGAGGAGTCCGAGAAGTTCGGCAAACCCGCTGCCAGGTTGAATAGTGCGGTCGATAAGTTCTGACCGGTGAGCGCACAGCTTAGGCAGAGGTCGCAACGGCGTGTCTGTATGGTGGAGCACCTCAGCAACCTCAAATGCACGCGCTACGTCGAGGGCTTACAAATTGGGCCTTGCGGCATGTAAGAAGACCTGCAGGTGCAAAGAATCACAGTGGTACATGAGCCAAAGTAGGCCAGGCACGGGTATTTACGCAGGCAACCTGTAATCAACGCGCAAATGAGAGTACCAAGGATGCAGGCCACAATGTGTGGCAGCAACACCTGGCCGGCTGAATGACTTTCTGAAGAGAGGCGCGCAGAAGGTTTGTCTTACACTTGCTGTGCATGCGCAGCACAAAAGCGAGCCCGTACAGCCACAAGTGCGCGCAACCAAGGCTTGTTGGACCTGCAGCAGTGTGACTACCTCGTCCTTGATGAAGCAGACAGAATGCTGGACATGGGCTTTGAGCCCCAGATCCAGGAGACAGCCCAGTGGCTCCCCTCTGAGCGGCAAACAGCACTGTTCACAGCCACATGGCCAATGGAAGTCCGTGACCTGGCCCAATCGTTAACAAAAGATGCTGTGCACATCCAAGTGGGCACAAAAGATGCTCATACGGCAAACGCTGACATTCGTCAGCACATCGTGACAGTGAATTCAGATGCCGACAAAATCAAGTTCCTAGAAGACACGTTCTTCAAAAAGCTGCAAGAGACAGACGCATCCGGGCTCATATTCGTGAAAACCAAGAAGACAGCGGCTTGGCTCTTCCAGTCCTTGGGTGACAATGGTGCCCCTATCGTGTGCCTTCACGGAGACATGGACCAGAATCAGCGTGACTGGTCTTTGAAAAACTTTAAAGAAGGCAAAGCGCGCGTTCTCGTGGCTACAGATGTAGCTCAGCGAGGCCTCGACATACGAAACGTGCAGATCGTGGTGAACTATGACCCTCCCGCCAACATCCAGGACTATGTTCACCGAATTGGACGCACAGGACGTGCCGGCGAGAAGGGTGATTCATACACCTGTCTATCTGCATCGGATTGGAGCCTAGCTAGCCAGATTATCAAGCAATTGAAGAAGTCAGGCCAAGAAATCCCACAAGAGCTCAGCGACATTGCCGAAGGTAAGCTGGATGGATCGTGGGGTGGCAAATATTCGGATGCTGCGTGGGACAACAAATACGCGGAGTCGACGTCGTACGAAAGCTACGAATCTCCAGATCCACGGGACCGCGGAGGGCTGGAAGATGCACAGGAGAGTCAGGACACCTCCTGGAATGCTCAAGAGCCGACCGAGACGTCCTGGAATGCTCAAGACACTACTGAGGCAACGTCCTGGAACGCTCAAGAGACGACTTCCTGGAATGATCAAGAGACGACTTCCTGGAACGCTCAAGAGACGACTGAGACGACGACCTGGAACGCTCAAGACACAACTGACTGGAATGCTCAAGAGACGACTGAGGATACGTCCTGGAAGGACGATGACTGCCCTTGGTGAGTCGAGAGAACTATTTGCGGGGCAGGGGAGGGGTTAGTGATCCCATTTATGAGGAAACGGATGAGGGCCACCCTGCAGAAAAGCAAGCGCCTGGTTCTTAACGTCTGCTGCAACGGCTTGACGTTTTAACCTCCACCGAAATTTGCTTGCGGCATGATTGGGTCCTCCCTGCCCTTGGCGTTCCCAGTACGTACATCAAAGAGCACATGCACACATTGCACGTTTGTTGCCCAAATGTTGTAATTTTGTTGCATGAGTCTGCTTTTGGCTCTGCTATTGACATCTGCCGAGTTCTTCGTGTCGTCACAGCACCTTGCGCATCAGTCCCACGTCGCCTGCAGAGCTTTCTCCCCCCCAGGAGCTCGATGAGTGGCGCCAACGCGAGGAGTGGAACAAGCCACAGCTTGGCATGTTTGGTGGAAGGTTGCGTGCTGTCCAGATGTCCAGCTTGGCAGTTTCGTATTCGACTTGTGTTGTTCTAGGCTTGGCAGCTTGTGTCTTGAAGAGATGCTAATCCACTGTGCCTCCCTACCAGACGGGTCGTGTTTTGTGCATGCTTTCATACATATGCCTGCATTGCCTACAAGGGGGTTTTGCAATCGGGCAATTCCGATTCTGAATCTTGGATTGACAAACGAAGATGCCTTGACAAATTTCCCAGTCATCTTCTGTTTTAGGTTTGGTACTGCCTGCGGAACTCAAGCACATCATGCGCTCGACTGACATGGACATGAGTAGTTCGCTCAGGTCATGCGCGACACTTCCTATGAAGCCCCCTTGCCAGTCCTACTATTGATAGCAACAGCTTCAAAATGAATTCTCCAACGTCTTGTCATGCTGGATAGTTTTTGCGGAGATGCCAGTTGCAACGGTCTATACAACAATGTTAGCATATCTATTTAGTGACTATACCTGTGT